GGTAGATTACTTCAGGGCGAGAGGGACTATTGTGGAGGCTGCCTAGAAAAAACGGTAGCTTCCTGGAAAAAGAACAACCGGGTATGCACTAGAGAGGGTACCATGTTCTGAGCAGTCTGCTTTGTTTATGCGTTTCGAAAAATTTTCACTTTGTTACATATGTAACATTATAATGGCAATGCCAGTCTATTTTTAAAAGCATTTTAGTCCTGCTATTTTAACTTTTTACTGCGAATCGGATGAAACGTCACAAAGCAGATCATCAGTTTTACGTTAAAAAAATTCATACAGATTTTGCTTCATCTCACTGATTGCAGTCCCCACGATGTACTTTACCCCACTTCCTCCCTGTGTTTCCGCTTCCCCACAATGGCCCCTACTATTTTAATATCACCATTTCCCTATACAGCCCTTTTCTGGTTTGTCCTGAGGCATAGATACTGAAAGATACTAGAAAGCAAATGTTTTGAGAATGATGAGGGCAACACACGTACAAATGTGCTTGACACACAGTGGATGTATGTATGGATTGTGGTAAGAGTTGTACGAGCCCCAATACAATGATTTAAAAAAACAAAACCAAGATTTTTCCCCCCCCCAAAACAAAGATTTTTATTTTTTTAAGTGGAAAATCTCCCCTGGTGCAGGGGCAGTCTGTAAGTTCCACCAAACGTTTCCCTGCATGGATCTGGTAAGAAGGTAGGGGTAGACACTGATCGGATTCACCTGTGAGTCATTGCAAACTGGATTCCCTAAAGTGGTATCTTGCTGTGTATAAAACGAGCCCTCTGAGAAGCCGGAGGGAGGCTCTCATTACAGTTGGAATGGAGCTTTTCCTCTAGACCCAAGATCTCTACGTAGTGAACCTCCTCCTGGACCCAGTTGATAGCTGTACATCAAAGGAGCTGCAGACCCCGGAGCCAAAGCATGGATTTGCCAACCCACAGAACCAGTAAAGCTGAGTGCGTTTGTGCAGGAGGCTGGTTGTGGGGTAGGGTGCCTCTGGGCACGTAATTGGGGGAAGTTGGACTGGTGACCCAGGGAACTAGAACTGAGTGCCTGTGGGTTGAGGCTTACGGGAGTAGGCGGCCTCTGTGCATTTCCCTTGGGGAGCTGAGTTTGCTGCCCCAGAAGTTTGAGCTGATTGACTTTGGGAGAGGCTTATAGCGCGGTGGTATGCCACCTTGGTCATGTACTGGCAGACCTGAAGCTTTGTAGCCTGTCTTGGAAAACAGCTACCCTGAACATTTCCCACCGGTATTTAAGTTTGTTAACGTCCTTAATGCACCATTAATTATGAATTTTGTGAGTTTATGTGTAGCCATCACAATGGATGTTAGAATCCAGAGAGATGAAGTAGAGAGGCAAATTGTAGAACATCAATTAAATCAGAACACACAGTCTCATTACCTGATTGTTACTTCATTTTGCATAATTCTTCCCATTTCTTGATTCATAATTATTTTCAGTTGCAATCATAAGAGCACACTATTTTGCATTTCTGATTTTTAAAGTTTACTTAACAGTATAATGTAAACCTTTTTCTTGTCTTTCCATAGTTCTAAAAATTATATACTTCATGACTTCATATTCTTTCGTGTCTGTTCTGTAAACATTAGACATGTTTAATAAGTGATGGTTAATCACTGATGATACCTCTTTGAGCAAAGAACACATTGAGAAATGAAACATACCAAGGGGATTTTTAAAAGTTTGTGGAAAAATGAAATGAAAGGAAGATGGAATTTTTGGGGTGAACTCTTTGAAGCCCCTTTGTAGAAGTTAGATAGAAACAAAAACTTAGTTTT